AGTGATCATATGAAAACCGCCTTCATTTGTGTAAACCGTACAAACCACCTTCATCTGTCGATTTCATTGTTTAATCTTATGAAATTTTTTCATGAAATTATTTAATCTTGTGAAATTGTTTCATATAATATTTTTTTTTGATGAAGTTGTTTCATATATGGTTGTGAAATTGTTTCATATGAAGTTATTTTTTTGATAAAGTAATTTTTAGTATATCTCTTTTCGTTTGCCCTTTTTTCTTCCTTCCACCTCAACGGTGAAGAAAGTTCCCATGGGGGTTTTGGAATCAGCATCAAAGAGAAGTTGGAAAATTTTAAAATGGACCAGAATGAAGCAGCCTGTGATCAAGCTAGCTAGCTAGCTGCTGGAAAAAGAGGGTCTAAACTCTAAACCACATCACAGCTGCTTCTTGTGTGTTGCAGATCTTCCTATTAGTGTATGATGGGAATTCCAACGGATATTTATAGTTGTTACTGATAGATATAATATGTAGTGTAGAGTGCAGCAAGAGCAAAGTTCCAAGTAACATAATTTTTAACTGGCAAGTGTGTGACCAAGGAGAAAATGTGTGCTTTATGACTTGTATGTAATCCTTAACAACTATATTTTTCTTCCAATCTTCTGATATCTTAATCTGAATCAGTCGTTGTTGTGTGTGTGAGAGAGAGAGTGAGTGAGAGAAGACAGTGATAAACCTCCTTTGAGGTTTACTTATAGAAGAAGAAATCAGATTAGTAGTGTAGCTGCTGTTTCTTAGTAGTCGATTAAGGGAATGTAGTTTGGTAATTGGGTTTTGCTTAAATAGGGAGCTGTCAGTTGAGGTCGGGTATTCTGTTTTGATTGTTTTTCTGTGAATTCGTTGAGAGCGAGAGCTCAGGGAGAGGACCAGACCTCTCGAACGTCTGGTAATTGTACCAATTCCGTTTCGTAATAGATTGGCCGACAATCTCAATCAAACTCGTTAATTGAAGCCGACCTGTTACAATTTTGCGTCGATTGTGTGATTCCAGCATACGAATTGATCTAAGTAGGGCATATCCAGATTACGGTTTAAGCTAGGGTACAACAGACAGAAAGAGAAAATTCCACCAGTTAGTTGCATTGAGAATCGTTTACAGCTCTAAATTACAAGAATAACATGTTTAACAATTACATGGGGTTTCAGATCATTTTCAATAAAAGCTTCAGACTACAACTGTTCTACAACACATCATTACAACACTAAACCTTCTTCTACCATTAAATAGAACACTTCAATTTGCTTTTTGTATATTACTATAAGAAGCAAGCACTAACCGGAAATTTTAGAAGTGGTATTCTTACGCAGAGATCTGAAATCAGAACTTGGTATTTTTTATTTGACATCATATGTCAATCCAATCACTAAACAGCAACATTATATAGATAGGCAGGTTAACTGCAGCAACAACTGAAAGCACTTGGAAAGCCCGTAATAACCTCTGAATCACCAGTCTAACATTTGATTTGTTGACTTTAGAAGGTCCCAATTTTACAGCAGCATCTGGCCCCAGTTGACCACTTATGTCTTGGGGCATTGAAAGATTAATCTCCTGTATTATCTGTTTTTTGGCTGTTGATCTCATTGTAGCGTTTCCTCTGCAACCAGGACAAAACAAACAGAAGTTATTACTACAATCTGGTTGTATAAGTGAGAGAAATGGAAGGAGAGAAAAGTAATGAATCAAACAAGGAGTATAATTCAGCCCGTAATGGGATCCAAGTTCAAGCCCATGGCTTGGCTTATTTAATCGAGTTTTTTTTATCCCAATTAGTTACATTAATGCTCTCTTTAGTTACCTTTCAACTTTTGATCTATCTTTTAGGCTTTTGATCTTTTAAGATAGCTTGTGGAGCTAATTTGAGTATTCTATACAAAAAAGGAGTGGACTATTGTTTAAGCGTTGTGTTATTGCTTTATCACTAATAGTATTCAACTTTCGCCAATTTGATTAATCTTGCTGGTGTTTAATTACTTTATCCGTGATTCTATCAAATTGTTAGGCTTGGTGGTGAAAACTTCATCAAACTAATCACACAATTCCGCATCCAAATCTCAACTGTTTATGTATCAATATGCATCACAAATTAAAGGTGCTCCAACCCGGCAAAGAAGATTACCTTTCCACCCTCTCATTTGCACGTGTAGGAGCGATCTTTGAGGCTTTCTTGATTAAATGCATCGAGCCTTCTGCATCCCAAACCATCTCATAGTCACAGTTTCCATCTTCATCTTTCTCTTTAGTGCTACTTTTGAAGATACCTAACATATGACTCATGAAGTCACCAACATGTCGGTGAATTACCAACCCATTTGGCCAAAGGAGAACCACAAGAAGCGTGAGAACAAATAAGAAGAGATACCTGAGATTTCAAGCAAATTATAGACTAATAAATACAGGACAAAAACCATATCAAGGACTTCCATTGTAACAAAAATTATGTTTACCACATGTAAATGAAGGTTTGCACAGGAAGTAGACAAACATGAGTTGATACGGCATCAGCAAGACTAGATGCATTAGAAAATGTAGCTTTACGTGCAGTCAGTAGCATGAAAGATGGATACAAGTTTCCCTGCTGCCAGCTAATTGTCCCCAGAGTTTGCTAGACAAAAACATAACACATGGAGTTTGCTACACAAATATAACATTGAACACATACCCACTAAGATTAGGTGCATACCTCTACTACAGACCCATGTTCAGCTATATGAGTAACAGTACACTGATCATGATCATGACCAGACAAAACAACTATCTGTTGGCACAGGAGACAATATCTCAGTTTAATTTACATTTACATCCTGAACTATTGCATCTGACATGATTTTTCAGGTCTAGTTACTACCAGATCTCAATCATGATTCAGGTTTTAGGGAATGAAGAGAGAACATACAGGTTTGATAGAATCCAGTAGCTTCTTTGTTGTTTCTTCTGTAAGATAATTTTGATACCTGCAATCGGTGCCATGGTATAAAAATTGTACCCTTGACAAGTAACGGCAAAAGAGAAGAAAATAAGAAGATAGCATGAGGAAGTTACACTATTTCCTGATCATCAGTAGAGCGAGAAATTCTCTGAACATGAAAATTCGAGAGGTTAATATGAGTCCACTACCTTTACTGCAATTACAAGTAAATCGGATACGGAGAAACAAATAGCAAGTGCAGAACAAATGATTTAAGAGATAAAAGAACACATAGAAAGTGAGACTTCAATAAAAATACAAATTAACTTGGTCACCATAAATTAAAAACTATTACCTGATTTATAACTGAGGAAGAACGTTGAGAACCACAGGAAGTCCAGTCTTGTCGATACAGTGGTATATGAGTTAACAAAACCCTTGGAGGTGAAAGAGAATCTATACAAACGCAAATGATATCGTCATTTTAAATTGAAAATTACCAATCAGAAAAATATGTCAACCAATATTACATACCCCTAGACACACTGTTAACAAACTTCCAAGCAGCAGAGGTCTGGTTTTGTTGTGGATGACCTGTGGATAAGAAATCATCAATAATAATCACTTTTATGTTCATAGTGGAAGATAAAATATGTCATAGTATCGGTGGGTAAAATGAAGCATTTAGACATGCTAGATACAGCACAAACAAAATGCATCACAAAGATAACATCATGGTGAACAACACAACATTGTTTTGACTCATAGTTACAAGAGCCTCAGCTTTTAGCTATTGCCTATTGGGCATTCTCATTGACATAAAACAATAAGAGATGACAAAGGAACTAACTGGAACGGAAAGACAGCTAAGGATATCAATTAGCCGGGAATGCAATCAGCAGTTGTAAATACGATTGTTCAACTAGAATAGCAGAAAACTTAAATGGAAGTAAAGGTCAATAATTGAAAAGTCATTTACCATCCAGTGTTTGGGCATCAACAGCAACAAATTCTACTTCTCCTGCTGTGAAGCGATAGTTCCTTGAACCAAATACTTTTTCGTAGCGGCTGATTACCTATCAAGTAAAAAAGCAAGAAAACAAGTCATGAATCATGATGATACAAAAACCATATGTTCAACTTGAAATGTGCATTATGTCTGGTGGTTCTGACACATACTATCACTTTTTAGAAGAATGACCTAAAAAATTGAGATCTTTTCTACTCTCACCCCCCCCTCCAAAAAAAAAGTCATGCTATTAAACCTAGAATGAAAATTCAAAGAAAACTCTCTAGGGAATTTTACATTTGAATAAAATACAAATTAATGAAATGACTCTTTATTCAATCTTTAACATGGAGGATATAGAAAAATTAAATTTATCCTAGTATAAAAAATTCATATAGTACTTTCTAAGGGACAAAGAAAATGTGGTTAGACTCCACATCCAACTTATCCACATGCTTTCGGATGAAAAGCTATTCAGTGGAATATTGCTGTTTTCACCCTCGCCTGTCCCACATCTCTATAAGAGGACAAGCAAAGAGAAACCTTGTCGCTGAAACTTTGACATCATGGTTCTCCATTAATAGCTTACAGTCTAGTTTTGCATACAGGTCAACAGCAAAGGCTTCATTTTTTAGACTGGCGATCAATCAGGGATTATCTGTACGTCTGTTTACTGCTTAGCAGACCATATTAAAGTGCACAAGCAATATATATATATATGAAAACATGACAAATACCTCAGGCATTTGGGAGTGATATGCTGCATAGCCGATATCATGGTTTCCTGAGATGAAGTATACTTGATTATTTGTAGTTCTTTCAAGAGTCTTAAGGTCGAAAATGTGCCTAAAACGGTTCAAAGAATCCTGCCATCTGCAACAACCAACTACAAAATGAGCTTTAGAGCCCCAATGTATAAATGTCCCCAACCTTTCAACTACAATTTTGAATAACGGTGCAACTTCGTGCTTGATGGATGTAGTAGAATCCAAGATGAGAATAGAAAATGTCAAAGCTTCCAGCTCAGTCCAGGTTAACCAACAACCGGATAACAAATTTAGCAATGTAAATTACCAACATCAGGTGATCCTTATGGTCACATAATAGCATCTGCAGATAAAACAAGTGTGAATCATGTTGACCATAGGCAATACCTCAACTAATTTGATAGAACTAGAAGAGTTCATTGCTTCCTTGTTTCACTCAATAAGTCTTGTTAGAAGCTTAAATGACAGGAACATCAATACATACCATTACCACATAATCCAAGAATAAACTTCATCACACATGTTACGAAAAGTAAAACTAAATGTACAAACAAACAAAACAGTCAGATGGTAACAAATGTATTGCTTTTTCTCTCTCCCGAAAGAGATCAAAAGAAAACTACCAGATGCTAAGCTTGTCCAGGTGGTACAAGAAACTGGAAAAGGATGATTGTTAACTTTTCATATCATTTTAATGTACTTATTGTAACAATAAATGCATGTGTACTTTTTGCCTTACTCTTCATCGGAAATAATAGGCCCACCATCAAAATAATCACCCAGAAACAAAACCATATCAGGTTTGAAAGGCATGATGGAAGCCAGTATTGCTCGACGCATGTAGATGTCAGTATAGAATTGTACAATCTCCAGTGTGAGTGACTTGGGAGCTAAATGAAGGGATGTCCTATCCATGAGCTGTTAGAGACAAGGATATTTTAAGGGCTATTGTGTAAAATAAATAGGAGAAACATGTAAATTGCAGGAGATATTATTCAAATCATGAATACCTGTGGATCAGTTACCACTGCAATTTTCACATAATCACCAGGATTATTGATTGTATCCATCTAAAAAAAAGCAATTAAAAAATTGAGTCCCAGAAAAATAATAAATAAAAACAGACTCCATTTTGCAATTAGTTTGTGTCAAAAATAGCAGCCATCCATAATAAGACAACTAATCATACAAATCTAGGAGGTTGAAGCCAGTAGAAATCCCCCTGGCTTACCTAGAAAGTTCAGGGATGCCTTTATCTAAACAAAAACCAACAATATATGAAGAAAGGACGACTGCTTAAATCAAGAAATGCAGATGAGAGCCATTGCTGAGTTGATTTCACAAAATCAAATTTCATCCAGGACAGAAGCAACCAGTCAATTGCCACCTGATTTTCTATATCAATGTAGTAAGTTTCTTGTGGATTCAACGAATCATTCAACTAGGAGAAGTTGAAAGTTACTGACTTTGATGTGAAACAAGCCATACTTTATACTTGGACTTGAAGAATAAAAAGATGCATCTTCTCCATGTAAAAAAGTAACGCATTGGTGAGTTGTGACTGCCAACTACTTAGAAATTGGGCATTTTTGGAGGTGAATATGCAGTCCCATGAAAAATGAAGTCAAACTTAGTACTTGCCACATGTTTTTAATTATAGGGTAATGTAAGACTCCATTTATATTTCCTAAATCCAGTACTTGTTGCAATTCTTATGCAGTTTAATGAAGGAAATCCCCACCCCAAAAACAGAAGATAATTAATCATTAGCATTAGTATAGGAGTCTGGGTGTTGGATTGAATTGGGATCTAGTTATGGGTAATGGAAAAAGCAAGAAATCTAGAGCATATATATATATATAGAAAGAGGAAAGAGGAAAGAGGAAAGAGGAAAGAGCGGATACTTACGGTAGGAGAAGGAGAAGGAGAGGAAGAAGGAGAGGGCCATGAGCAGGTGAAGTAAGAAGGGAGGCGAAAGGCGAATTTCTCACCGTAAAGAATGGAGGCCGCCCATAGGAGGCAGAAGAAGAGGGTGAGATTGGAAATCATGGCTTGTCTTCTCAGATGGAATGGAAGTGTGAGTTGAGTTGGTCACACTCTTCTTCACTTTTACCCGCATTCTCGCTTTTTAACTTTCTTTTCCATTTTTTTTTAAACCATACAACCATATAAATCTATACTATATTATCTATACTATCTTATAAAACATTTGGTTAAAACTCTTAAAAACACTTAAACTCGTTCATTCCTAAACGATTTCATCTCTATCCGATTTCATCACATATCTGAATTCGTGTAAGTAACTGCAGATAAACACAATCAAATACAGGATAAACATCTCATTTTAAATATAAAAAATCTAAAATATAATTAGTATAATCATTAAATTCTAACAGAATACTTAATTATTATCTTTATACAATTTATAATATTAAACCAAAAATAAATTGTTTTATTATTAAACTTAAATTAAATTATATAT